AGAGTGAATGAGAAAATAAACTTGGCCTCCGTATTTCTCTTATGCAGCAGGAAGAGATGCCATCTGGACCGAAATACCCTTTAAATCAGACTCTTATTCAGAATGCAAAGGCAAACAGTATGTCAAGAGAACTTGGTATAAGAAGTTTGTAGGTGTGCAGCTATGCAATTCTTTGCGATACAAGATTTACTTGAGTGATTCACTCACAGGTAAGGTTGACAAGGCACACTTCTCTGAGCTTTGTTCTATAGTTTTCAGACATTTTCCTTTTAATACACTGCTTGGCTATTAATGACTTACTTCACGCTTTTCTGCTGTAGAGTACAAGTAACTATGGGATTATTCAAATAAAAATATAGTACCTTTAATTAAACTGTCACTGAAGTATTTTTTGATACAGATCAAGGTCTTGATTCTACCTTTCAGAACTACACACAAAAGAACTATTTGAAAGGCACAAACCCATGCCTAATAAATAGCAGTGTTCATATTATAATTTTTGCCATAGCCATCTGAAAGAAAAATGTTCAGTAAAAAGAAAATTAAACACTAAAACAACTGTAAAAAATTGACATTCAGGTTGACCATTAACATGGAGGAATGTCCTTGTCCATTATAATTTTAGCTTGAAAAATATATAAGTATTTGTGAAATATAATACTATTGCCATTTACTCAGCTGGAAAGGGCTAATATCCTCTAATACAAATCTTTAATTTAGAAAATGGAAACTACTGAAATGTAACTGCAAAGTTACCAAGCAGTCTTTGAAAGAGGCTATTTATGTTTAACATGACTGATAATATTAGAATCACAGTATTAATTGGCTTGAAAAAAAAATTTTTTGGAATAGCATCCCACCCATTAAGAGTAGAAACTGAAGTAGTTCAAAGGAAATAAATGAATTGAAAGTCCAATCTTGTAGCTAATTGCTTCTTACCCAGCTCATTCTTCCTATTAGCCCATTCTTGGCTACTTCACTTTTCTCTCCTCTACTAGTTAAGTGTTCCTAATTTTTGTTAGGATTGTTTAGTGATTTCTCTGCCTCTATAAATTTAATTATAAGAATTAAATGATTGCCCCTATAATAATCCACTACAAATTGGTTTCTAGTTAGCTAGACTTTCTAATTAAACAATACCCTCTATTCCCTCAACATGTCACATAACAAAACTTTCATTGTAGTTGGATCTAAATTTCCAAAACAATATCAACGGCACAAAAAAATAGCTCAACAACTCTGGGGAAAGATGAAGAAAAGGAACTGGGACAGGAAACAACACTGGTCAGAGCACTCGTTTTGGAGTCAGGACACCTGAGTTTGAATAATGGCCCTGGATATCATTTGCTCTATGATCTTGGACAAGTTGCTTAAACCCATAACTCAATTTCCAAACAGGTGTTTATAATACTCGCTCTATCTGTTGTGCAGAAAGTGTTGCAAAAGTACTATTTAAGTGTGAGTTATTTAAAGTCCTAATCATCAACCTTGGGTCATGGAAAACCTTCCCACCCATCCGTTTTTGGCTTTTTTCCGACTGCATGTGCGTGTGTGTGTGCGTTGTGTGTGTGTATGTATGTGAGACAGAGAGGTGGGGAATGAGTGAGGGAGGGAGAAAGGGAGGGAGAGACTTGGTTTTAATAGTTCAATAGACTCATACATTAGTGATATGTCCAATAAACCCTCACTGGCATATTTTTCAATGTCCTTTTAATTTCTGTATATTCAGGAAAATTTTACAACATAGGAGATCAGAGAGGACATGGAGAAGACCACTGCCAGTTTGTGGATTCCTTTTTAGATGGCCGTACTGGACAGCAACTCAGTTCTGATCAACTGCCCATCAAAGAAGGTATTTCATTGAATCTCACTTCTTCTAAAATGGTCTAGTGGCCCTCAAAAAGTTTTGTTGTACCAAATTTAAAAACTCAGAGAAATACACAGCACATGCATAGCTTTACATACACAAGGTATATCATCATAGTATGGAGATAAAACATGATAAGAAAAGCACTGAACTAGGAAAACAAGTTCTTGGTCTGGTTCTGTCACTAGCTTTCTCTTTAATCTTGGCCCAGTCACTTAAATCAACATGAACCAATCTGACACATTCCTTAACATCTGTAAAGTGAATAGACTATACTAACTACATGCCCTCCAATATCCTTTCCAGTTCAAATAGTCTATGAAATGGGATAAAGGTAGATAGAGCTAATGAAACTATTTCCTGCACTCATAGGGATAAATGAGGTTCGTTGGCAAAATTCAATTGAACAACATATTTAAGTACAGAACACTGTATAAGGAAAATTCTATCAACAAAAAATGGGTATTTCTATTTCCTTCCATATATTGACTCCTTCAGTTGTGTTCCCTCACCACCCTTCCATAACTTAGCAACCAAAATCTTGGCTCAACCAGAACCAAGTGAAATTACCCATAAAAGATAAAAGTTACCCCACTTTACGAAAATTCAAATCAGATACATTAAAGAGTGAGTATTCACATTATCAGATGATTCTCCACAGGGTTTCTTTAAATAGCAACTTCCCCTAATGTGCTTTTAAATTCTTAAAATATACATGATTTTTCAAAAACAAAATCTGTGTGTAAACTGGCATGCTTGCATGACCAACAACTTTTATTAGCACCTATATAGCACACTGTTAAAGCATCAATAGTAGACTGTGAATGTAAATGGGGTGAAGGGGGAGAAGGAAGGCAAGGGAAGGGAAGAAACAAAGGGGGAAGAGAGATTTAATAAAAAAAAAAAAGTATTTTTAATTCATTTTAAATGTCAAATGCTACATAAATAATTTTATCGGGCATGATTTTTTAGGAAAATTCCTTGCATAAAGCAAATTAATTTTTGTAGAACATTTAATACGAAGCTCCCTTGCAGTATTTACAACCGGAACATGTTAACAAAAATATGTTCAAATGTGTGAGTACAGTAACTTTCTTTATACAGGTCAATCAATCCTTCATACTACATGGCTAAATTTTAAAATACACCCTGAGGGCATCTGCAAGGGAAACAATGCCAACTAGATTAAGTGCCACATTTGAATCAGCACTATGAAATACTCCACTACAGAAAGAGGAAGAAAGTGTATAGTGAAACTAAACTGTGCTAAATTTATCTATTCGATTTATTAGGCTACTTTAGAGCAGTTCGCCAAGAACCAGTCCAATTTGGAGAAATAGGTGGTCATACACAAATCAACTATGTCCAGTGGTACGAATGTGGAACTACAATACCTGGAAAATGGTAGATGCTTGCAGCAGTGGTGAGAGACGCCTTCTGTTCCATCAAGGAAAAAGCATTGGAAATGTTATAGTATTTGTCCCACTTAAACCTTCTGTTTACTATGTATAGAAATTTTAAATGGAATTAACAGCAATATTAACTGGTTAGGCTGCTTACTATATTTATCAGGTTCTACAAAGTCATTTAAATAAAATAAGATATAGGCATTAACAGGAATTTGGGAAGCTGGCTCCCTGCTCATGGTATTTTAAGAGATACAGTTTGTATGTTATTTATCACAATGTTGTAATAAATGTTTTGAGGCACTTTTATGGTAAACTTAAAGTATAATATGCATTAATTTTAAATATTCACTTTTATTGCCTGTTTAGATAACTCTACAAACCTCTATTCTCCCTCCCTTTATAATTAACTTTAACTTATTGGATCAAACTCTTCTTCAATAGAGCTGAAAATACAATTTTACCAATAATTACATAGTCCTCAGAATAGAAACAGTTGAATAAGCTTTTCTGGAAGAGCTTTGACACACAATCGGATATTTAGTGGAGATATCTGTCAAGTCTTCAGTGGAATGTTAGGCAAGTTTCATTTCAGCAGTTCTGCATCACCTATGCTCAGTAGAATTCAGAGTCCTGTTTACTTAAGAGATTTATTCTCCACCCATCCGCCTATGCTGTAGTGTCTGGATGTATTTTTTTTTTCATCAAACTTAGGATTTCCACTGTCCCTTGAAATAAATGTGTGTCTTCATTTAATCTATTAACATGGTCATGTCCCTAGTCAAGTTGTAAGCACTGGTTCTGATGTTTGAGCACAAAAGAGTAGTAAATGAACAAGGTCTATAATAATGTACAGGATATTTGCTATATATATTTTGTATAAAAGACATCTATGAATGAATGCAAAGGAGGATATTTGTTGTAATTCTGTTTTAACTCAAACTGTAAAGAAAATCTGGTTAAATAAAGACCGTTCCTGGGGGAAGGGGGATAATTCACTGTGCTTAATGTCTTTTATACTGTTGCCTTTATTCCAAAAATGCCTCAATTTTCCCCCTCCAATGCTACGTACATTTTTTATTTTTCAAACATTAATGAACTCTGCAATAAAGAGATGTAGTTTTTTTAAGAAATGTGTTTCTTGTTTCTGAGATGTTCACATCATTGAATAATTTTTCCCTTATATATTCATGTCCCTTATACAACTGAAAGAGAATCCTTCATTAAAATTTAACATGGAACATGGAATTGCACACTTAAAACCCCATAGTATATTTTCATCATCACTTTTTTAAACTAACTAGTTTTATCCGAGGCTTTGTCTCTCTTTGAGGTCTATTTTAAATGAGTTTTTATGCACTTATTTTCCCTTGGCTCTGAATAATGAAATCCCTTCAATAGCTCAAGCAAAAATTCTCAACTTCTTTTTTTGTCGGTCATAGAACACTCTGGCATAGTTTTCTGATGAAACCTATGGATCCCTTTTTAGAATGTTTTTAAATGAATAAAATAAAACGCATAGAATTTACAAAGGAAGTATACTGATACACAGGTCTCAAGGTATTTAAAAAATAATTTACAGAGCCTCTGCTCTAGAGAAAATTTTATACCTTTTCAAGAGCTTTGAGACAAATTACATGCAAAAAGTACATAAAATAAAGTTAATGCTTTTGACTCTCCCTTTAAAAGTATTATCCCACTGTCTGGATTAAGAACAAGACAAGTAATGGATTCAATCATTTTATTAGCCATTCAATGTCAATGTTACCATTTTAACATAATACCTAGTTTTTATCTCAAAGGGATCTAATTTAGTACATCATGTTAATAGTAAAAACAAGCCAGAGAACATGGCTAAATCTCAACCAACCTAGCATTTTAATATCCTCTGGACAAGGCAAGCTAGAATTCAACCACTTTACACAGACTTAGGGTAGTGTTTCAAAATTAAAAAAAAAAACTAGGAAGCTGATACAATTTAAAGCAGGGGGAAATGAAGATTTGTTTTGGTCTTTTATTCCAGCAAATTATACTTTCAATTAACGGCAACAGTGATACCATAAAGAATGCTCTGCCTCTTTTTTTTTCTGAGTTTCTGAACTTTAATACAAATTAAAAGTAGTATTGAGTCTGTTGGGATGGAAGGTAGCTAACAGCTGCATTTACCTGTAACATAATCAATAAGCAGCTGAGTTTCCCTATCGATAACCAGGTCCAGGCTGGGTATAACCCTGAGTAAAGGGAGGACGGTTACGTGAATAAGGGTTAGGCCCACTTGGAGGAGGTGTCATAGTACTTCCAGGAGGTGGTGTATAGCCCGGTCTTGGTTGATAGGCACCTGGCTGACTTTGAGCCATTCCAGGTTGAGAGGCAGGGGTGTAACTGGCAGGCTGAGAAGCTTGAGTAGTGTAATTCTGTGCAGGGTAACTGCTCGCTTGGTACTGCTGAGGAGGCTGAGCAGGCAGCTGCTGAGGCTGTCCAGAAAAGCCAGGTGCTGGGGGCTGGGAGGCTGGTTGTTGAGCATATCCTTGGAACTGCTGAGGAGGTTGGGGTCCAGCCTGCTGACTGTAGCCTGGTGGGAAAGTAAAACAATAAGAGTGTATTTGTGTGTGTGCACTGATAAATCTTAACATAAGGGTTAAAAGGCCTTTTTAGTCCACAAATTAAACAAACTTAGACAAATAAATCACAGGCATTTGTAACAAAGCAAGCACAGTAGCAAATTACATCTTGCATTATTTCAAAAATCAAATAATTATCTAATGCTATGCAGCAAATGCACTTGCAGAAATAGAAAATTCATTTTAACTACAATTTTATTTTGTAAGCTGAAGCTACAGTGTTCCTTTCTTTAGTTCAATTATTATGGTATTTTAGAGGGAGATAATGGAAGGACATTAACTGAAATGTCATAATATAGTAAGCAGGGAGGCCTACATAAAAGCAATCTCATATAAAATCATATTTCCTAGTGGATCTTCTTAGATGTGGGCCTGCAGAACATTTGCAAAAAATAATGTATTGCAAAATTAAGAAAAGCATCACAATGCTATTGGATGCATTCTATGACAGCAACGAGGTATTGTTTATTCTTTCCTCTAAGTCATAAAAACTCACATTTTGCTTAATTCTTGCAAAATATTAGTGATTATTTTCATAATTCCTGAAATATAAGCCCCCTTTAGATTCAACATATTTTTACTCTTTTTTTAAAGTTTAAAATTATTTAGCATACGTGCACTTAAATATATAAAAATGCTACCCCACCCCCATCAACATATGTATTCATAATTCACTACAACTATGTTCCCAAAGGATGTGATTTGTTTTGTTTTTTAAAAGAAAAGTCTGCTTCAATTGAAAGCTTTTATCTCTACTATGAAACACACCTGCAGCTACTTGCAATGAAACCTCTCCATTGACTGGAATCCTGTCAGCATTAAACACCAGATACATAAGAAAATTATTAAAATATTCACAAGCCCTAAATATAAAATAAGGATCGAAGAATTCATTTGAGTATATTCTGAACTCACCTTGAACTTGGGTTCAAAATTTACTCATGAAAGAAACCTTTTGATAATAGTCCATGAAAAACCTGAAAATGGCCAAGGGTCAAGAGGACACACCCACTAATGTGTGTCAAAAATGGTCAAGTCAAAATGCATCAGTTTCATATTTCCACAATTTATGCTCTCCATGTTGGCTAAGAGTAATACCTTTTGATTTGTTAAATAACAGGAAACCAAACAAAATTGGGAACACAGAGATAGGGTTTCTTAAAAAAATAAAATAAAATTTTTAAGGACTAAAGGTCTCAGAACATCAGGACTCTGGGCCTCTGAGGGAGCTTTTCTACAGCAGGCATTTTTCCTTAGTATAAAATAAATTTAAATTTTCAAGTATTTTATCCAGGAAGGAAAGAAGATGTTTAGTGAGCCTCTAACTCAGGACTCCACAACATATGGCCCATGGACTGCCTGTGGCCCACCAAAGGATTTCAGGCAGACCACAAAAAATGTAGAGGATATAAAAGAAAGTAAAGCTGTTAACAAGTGCTTTATCCATGCCCCGCTTAACCTGCCTTCTACTAGTCACTATTGCGCCCGTCATGTAACTTGGTAGGTGTTTTGCCACTGTACTGCACGTTTGTCACATGACCCACAGCAACTAACCACCATCAATGTGTCTCTAGTCTAAGAGGACTGATCTCATGATAAATAAAAGTCTTAAGTAATAAGTGCAATTAATTGATATTAATTAAAATTTCCCCATTTTTATATGGTTTATTTGCAAAATAGTTTAATCATTAATTATACCTGTGGTTGGAAAATGAGCCACAAAGACCTATCTGCAGCCCAAAGAAGTTCAGCCTATTTTAATTTTGGCCCCTACCTACTACCAAGTTGTGCAGGTCTGCTCTAACTCAATACTAATCAATTTAAAAAAAAACAAAACCTTTTGACTTTATGGCTTTCTCCCAATTGTTACAGAAAACTAGTTTGACCTTTATAATCTACTTTTTTAAAATTCAGGGCTAGGCAAATAACATAAGATACTTAAGGGAAAAGATAGACAAAAATATGCACTCTAGATAAATAGGTTTTGAATAAAAAGAATGGAATAAATTGTATTTTCTGGTTCTTGATACTTTATTCAAAAATTTCAGATTTGAGATTTTTTTTAAAATGGGGTCTGGAGGCATCTATCATGACAATCTATCATTAAGCATTTGCCCGAGAGGCAAGAAAGCTCAAAAAAATTAATAAACGCTTGATTGACAATTCCATACTCAATTTCTGTAGAGACATAACATACTAGAGCCATGCACGAGTTATCTATAAAAGTTTTCTCCTTTTCAAAAGTTACTGGTGAAGCATATAGGAGATGGGACTTTTGCAGCTTCTTAGCAGTATAGTGTAGTAGAAAAAGCCCTTGCTTAGGAAAGTGCCAGACCTGGGCTATAGTCTCATCTCTGACTAGGCAACTGTGTAACCTTGGGTAAGTCACTAAATGCCACCAGAAACCAGCTGCCTCATCTGCAAAAATGAGCGTTCAAATAGATGATCTTATAGTTTCTTCTACCTCTAATATTACATGAATTATTTAATTAAAATGTGCATTATTTTGAAAGAATAAAATTCTTAGAAGGGATGGGGAACCTGCAGCCTTGAGGCGACATGTGGTCCTCTAGGACCTCAAGCGTGGCCCTTTGACTGAATCCAAACTTCACAGAACAAATCCACTTAATAAAAGGATTTATTCTATAAAATTTGGACTCAGTCAAAAGGCTGCACCCAAGGACTGAGAAGGTCTCAAGTTCCCCACCCTGGTAGCTTTTTAAAAAATTATAACACAAGATTAAAGTTTTTTAATTTATTCTGTGCCCACAAAGAAAGGAATGGCAGCTACACATTTAAAATTGCGCTACAACCAGTATTACTATAATGAAAATCTCTGTACAACCAAAAAAGTTAAACTCCAGTTGATGGAACATTTCATCAAATGTTGGAGACTACCAATTTTCAGAACAAAAACTGAACAGTATCCTTCTTCCTAACAGGATTTAACATGTATTTGGCAAATTATTTTGTATTCAACAGTTTCATTATTTGTGACATAGCCCTATAGTGAAAAACACTAAATCCATAGTCACTATAGATTTAAAGCTGAAAGGAAAACTTGAGGTCATTTAGTTCCAAACTCTCATTTTATAGATGTGAAAACTGAGGCCTAGAAATGTTAAGTCACAGAGCCAGTAAGCGACAGAATCTGGACCTGAGCGGAGCTCAAAATTTTTCATCTCAAGCCCAATGCCCTTTCCACTAACCCATGTTCCAAACCCAATCAGACATAAAGCTATCATCTGAATTGTAAAACTTAATTGCAGCTTCCCCATTAGTCATTTATTAAATATAAATAATTTCCATGCCTAGGCTCCCTAAGGTATTAAAAAAAACTATAATCTATATAATTCCTGTTGACTAAAAATACTTATTAAAGAGCCCATTTCAGTCCACCTTGAATGTATAACTTCTGTTCAAATTTCCATTGTATTAGAAAATTTGTTAAAAATCTAACAATTTATGGACTCTGACCCTTAAATCATTTAGTGAGATCAATCTTTCAAATACTGGATTATCAGGAAAATCAAGCACATTGCTTTCATTATAACAAACCAAGAGGATTCAAATTAGATAAACATATGGAAATATTTCAAGGTGACAAGTTGAAATGGACTTTTCCTTTAAACAAAAAGTATTAGGTCACCTAGGATTAAGTTTTACAAATTAAAGAAAGGCTTGGAGGAGGAGGGAGGGGCTCCCCTTAACTGTGATTTAGTGACAAGTGCTTGTTTCCTGCAAACTAACCTTATTTTAGTAGGAGTCGTGTTCAGTGATTCCAGTGAAATTAAACTCTATTTTGTTGTTTTTAAACCACTGCCTACTAGAACCGTAGAAGTGCCATGTGTTTGATGCTCGTACTTAAGTCCAAATAAACTGCTGATTTAAAATACAATTATGTAAAATATTAGAAATTTGAAAAAATGCACTAAATACTGTTCTTCACCAGAATAATTAAGCACCAAATAGTATTACATGTATTTCTGAAAATAAAATCAAATGTAAAATTCAAGTAGTTAAAGCAGACACCAGTGAAATCACAAACTTAAAGCCCTTCTGTCAGTGGCTTACCTGAATACTGCATACCATATTGTTGTGGAGGCTGAGCTTGTGGCTGCTGAGTACCATAGCTGGCCTGTTGTTGGTACTGTTGATACATCTGACCTACATATTAAAATAAAAGAGAAAAAACTTAAAGTTCAACATACATACTAAAAATATTAATAGTTTGTATACCTAAAGATTTCATCTCCTTTGAATTTGACAACACTCTAGGCCTAGTATTATGCCCATTTTACAAAAGAGGAAACTGAGTCTCAGAGAGGTTTACCCATATTGCCTAAAGTCTCAAAGCTACTAAAAGGCAGAGTCTGGATTCAAATTCAATCCAAATTCAATATTCTTCCCACCCTAGTATGAGGCCTCATCACTTGTCATCTGGACTACTGCACTAGCCTACTAATTAGCCTCCTTGCCTTGAGTCTCTAGCCTCACTCCAATCCATCTTCCACACAGGTGTTCAAGTGTTCTTCTTCAAGCACAGCTCTGACCATGTCATTACTCAAACTCTAATTGCTCCCTATTGCCTCTACTACAGAATACAAACCCCTCTTTTCAGCTTTTAAAGCTCTTCCTAACCAGGCCCTACCCTACCTTTCTAGCCTTATCCTTCCCTCTCACTTCCCATCACACATTTCATATTCCAGGCAAACTGGACTTCATATGTGACACTCCATCCCTCATTTCAGAGAGAAGGGGATTACAGATGAGTGAAGCAGCATATACTGTCAGAGATCTAACAGCTGGCTTTGCTCAAATTTTTTGTTGTTGTTTTAAGGAAGGGTTCAATGTTAGAAGAGTCAAGGGAAATGAATAGTGAAAAAACAAACAGGCAACAATAAAACTAAAACATTTAATTAACCAGAATAATATGCAAACAATCTTATTTCCTTTATGATTTTGATTCAGGCATTCAGTATGTGTCTTGGCTAAAGTCAGTCATAAGCATCAGTGTTTAGCAACTTAGACTTGGCACTTCTGCTTGAAATAATTCTACACATCCTATTTGCAATTACATAAGAACTTATAACATCAATAAAGGTATTTTCTGAAATAGCAAAACTACCAGCTTTGGTAACAATGGATATGTTCCCTGAATGAAAACTCCATAGTTCTTTCTTTGGATGTGGGTGGCATTTTCCATTATGACGCCTTTGGAGATGTCTTAGATCCTTGTATTGCTGAGAAGGGTGAAGTCTATCAGGATTAGTCATTGCACAGTGTGGCTGTTACTGTGTACAACGTTCTCCTGATTCTGCTCACTTCACTCGGCATCAGTCCGTACAAGTCTTTCCAGGTTTTTCTGAAGTCAGCCTGTTCATCATTTCTTACAGCACAGTAGTATTCCATTGCATTCATATACCACATCTTGTTCAGCCATTCCCCATTCATATACCACATCTTGTTCAGCCATTCCCCATTCATATACCACATCTTGTTCAGCCATTCCCCATTCATATACCACATCTTGTTCAGCCATTCCCCATTCATATACCACATCTTGTTCAGCCATTCCCCATTCATATACCACATCTTGTTCAGCCATTCCCCATTCATATACCACATCTTGTTCAGCCATTCCCCAATTATCACATTGGGGAATGGCTGAACAAGATGTGGTATATGAATGCAATGGAATACTACTGTGCTGTAAGAAATGATGAACAGGTTGACTTCAGAAAAACCTGGAAACACTTGTATGGACTGATGCCGAGTGAAGTGAGCAGAACCAGGAGAACGTTGTACACAGTACGGCCACACTGTGCAATGACTAATACTGATAGACAACTCTTCTCAGCAATACAAGGATCTAAGACATCTCCAAAAGCCTCATGATGGAAAATGCCACCCACATCCAAAGAAAGAACTATGGAGTTTGAATATAGTTCTACACATTGCTATTTGCAATTTTTTTCTTCTGCTGTGTTCTGTTTCCTCTTTCTGGTGGTTCCTCCTATTGGTTCTAATTCTTATTTACAACATAACTAATATGAAAATATGTTTAATAGGAATGTATATGTATAGCCTATGTCAGATTGCGCCATCTTGAAGAGGGAGTTGGGGAGGGAAGAGGAGAAAAATTTAAAACAAAAGCTTACAGAAGTGATTGTTGATAATTCAAAATAAATTAATTTTAAAAATTAAAAATAAATAATCCAAAAAAACCCAACCCAAATGCTATCCTTCCAACTGTTCAAGAGAATGCAAAATTCTTGAAACAGGAATTTTGTTAAGTAATATTTACGAGGTTTTTATAGATTTGAAGTGCTTTAAATGTGATTTTCACATCCCACATTTTTATTCTGGCTACATAAAGCTCTATCTGTACTTCCTCTTTGAATTGATATCTGCATCTATTAATTTATGCTATTCTAGTAATTTATGCTACTGCTCTGGCAGTTATAATTGGGTAAGAGAAGGAACAGAGAAAAGCCCTAAAATCTAAGGCATGCTAGTAATTCCTCCCCTAAACACCAAACATGTCAATTCTCAAAGTTTTACCCAGACCTTACCCCATTATTCAATGGAACAATAAAAGAATTGCCTGGGAAGATACAATTATTTAAAAGATTACATGACTCTGTGCCATAAAAAGAGAAAATCAAACGAATGGCTTCCTACTACCTTGCCCCTCTTTACACAATGAAAATATAATATACACTACAACCTGGCCTTTAAAATATATAGCTAGAGCACCACCTGGTGTTTTCCTGTGGAACCTTAAAAATAAAAAAACTAACACTTATAAATGAGAATAAAATAAAGCTTTTAAATCTATTCATATTAGTTAGGTGGTGGTACTCTGAGTATACTATAAACATAATTCTCATAATTTTCCACTTTAAAACTCTGTTTAATTTCACAAGTTAACTCTTATTCTTTACCTTCAATCTGACCTGCTTGTGTCTGAGCTCCTGTATATGGTGGCTGTTGTGGCTGAACACCTGGTGGATGAGCTGCAGATGAGGAGGAAGCAATGCTATCTGGTGTTCCAGAACGTTCTTCTGCAGGAGCACTGGGTGGTCCTGAAGAATGATGAAAAGCATAATCAGAACCTAGCACAGAACTGTGTACACAGCAGGTGCTTAATAAATATTTCCTTCAAAGCAAGTTAGACACAGAAAAAAAAAATTAAAGGAACTATATTTCAAGCTTAAGCTTCAAGTAAAATCTTTTTTTTAAGATGCCACATTTGTATCCTTAAAATATTAAAAACGTCTGAAAAATACTTTCAGTATACTGAATGGATCTTCAGCTGAGGATTTGTAGAAGGAGATTATCAACAATAATTGCACAAGATCAGAAGGGTTTGAGGGTTTGCACTTTGCATCAACGGATGGAATATTCACACTAATAATATCACAGGTCTGCCTATGAACCAAGTATTTCCTTCCTTTAACTCCCTAACTTTCTTTACCTGCTGTTTTCCAAGCAGTTCCACACTGCAAATGAAGAGTCCCTCACTACCATCTAGCAAGAAGTTGAGTCCTATGTTCCTATAACCCCCCTAAAAGAAGCAGCAGCTATCTCAATGTCATTATCAGTACTATTCCAATATTCATCTATTACAGAACAAGCACTCATCCTGACCAAAGTAAATTTAGACTATGACAAAATCAAATTGGACCCTAATTCCAATAGGCTATTGAAAAGCAGCAGCACATGTCCACAGACATCTAGAGGACCCACCTCTATTTAAATGTTCCAAAGTTGGGTACTTAACATATTGATAACAACTAATCATCCTTCTTTTTTCCCTTCCCTATATCCCTCAAAACCCTGTTCTAGTTCCTTAATACTATCAAAGATGACACTAGGTAGGCTTACTTAAATAAATTCACATCTGGCCACAATGATTTGCATGTTCTTTTCAACAATACAGATAGCCAGCCACCCACATCTGCCCATCCTGTGCCACTCTTGTACACATCCTCCTAGAAGCTCATCACACCTTGCTGGAGACTTTCCTCAGTTTCTTCTGACATTATAAAGGTCCCAGTAGAACATTAACTGTTCACTTGTCATCCCTCACCCTCACCACAGGGCCAACCTGCTTGCTCTATGTTATTTTTTCCTACATATTTTACTCTGGTTCTCCTTCAAACTGCCTCCCTGGTTACATGCTGCAGCCATGCTCCTCTGCACTGGTCCTTATGAAATATCACTTTTAAATCTTTGGAGACTGTTGTGTTATATGTTTAACAGCCACATAGCAACACTGTAAAATGTTACTAAAAAGACATCTTTATTTCCATGGGAAACTTGGCATCATTAGAAGAACTCTGAAATTTCCTAAAGACAATACTACCTATTCTCCTGCTTTTAACTCTGGGTTTAACTCTTTGTCCACTCGTACTATCTGTCCCAGGTATACATACTAAAGAACATGCTCTATAGGTTGTCCATTCAAATGCAGGGTCATAATCAAAGTTACATATATTCTTCATCCATTTGGTCCTTCCCATGTGGATGGTCAGGCCCAACTCTTGAGTGTTTACTGATCTCTTCCAGGAAGCTATTCAAATTAGTGTAATACCACCCACAAACAGGAGCATCTGGAGGACCTCATCATCCACAGGGAATTTTTCAACTTGGGTTCTGTTGGATTCTCAACCACAAATATCTTTGATGAGGCTCGCCTGATGTTTATGATCAGAGAGTCATTGAATGGGGTTATTTCAGTTGTCATATCTTCCAAAGAATCTTGAATAATTGTGATGTATCAACGAAAAGTACCTTGTTGGGAAAGATACCTAAAGGTGGAATTTTGCTCTACTAAATCAAATGCTTTCACTATCGACAAGCACTGTGGGTTGTCATATTCTCTACCTTTTAATATATTGTAAAATGGTAAAGATGTAGTCCAGTGTTGAATAGTACTTGGGAAAAAACCTGCTTTTTTCCTACTAAAATCTTCATAGAGAATATCTTCAATTCATGCACGGATTAAGTCTCAAAGATTTTATATAGATGGGAAAGCAGGCATAGAGTTGGTAGCTGCTGATATTTTCAGTAGCTTTTCTCAGTACCAAAAAGATCCAAGATTCTTTTTCATGCCTTCGATATCTTCTTCTTCTGATACTCTGTAAACTGACCCCTCATTGTGCCCTCACAATTGTGTTGCCTCCAGCATGGTTCTCCTCTACACACATTTGAATTAATCCAGTTGCTTTTCTGTAGGGCGACTTTTACCTCCCCTGTAAGCTCATCCAGGACTGTGATGCTGGAGTCCAAGTGAGGTGGTTCCACCGACCTTGATGGTAAAAAAGTTTGTTTTTTTAGAGATCTTTTCTGAGGTAGGCATACAACTCTGAAATCAATTTGTCTTCTTTTTCCTTCCCCAATATATTAACTAACATATTCTCTCTTTGTACTACCTCTCAGATTCATCTTTTCTTTTCCATATTGATAGAGAAGACCCCAGTTCAGGCCTCATCACAATATATCTATATTATTAGTACAAAAATTTTGTCGATGTTTTTCCTATGAAGTTTCTCCTTACTGTAATCCAACATATACAAAGTTACTAAAGTAACACTCACAAATTCAGTATGTCTACCATGCTCCTACTTAAGAACTAACAATGACTCTCTGTTGGCTATAGTATGAAATCTAAATTCTTACAGTCCTAACAATTCTCACAGTCCTTACACTCATGAAAAACCACCCCTTCCACCTGGCATCACTGTAGCACATAAGTATGCAGTCTACATTTTGCTCATTTATGCTTCAGCTGCTCTGCAAATGTTTCACAAGAAATTCTATATTCTATGATCAAAATTAGGAACCACTTTCCCAGATTTAGCTAAGAAAATATATGTAATTTATAAAACTATTAGCTCTCCTACTTCAAAAAATTTATAAACAGCAACTGTTCTTTTGTTTCTTTTATTAATTATTAATTATTGTTCCTATATGAGAAATATATGAAATGAGGTTATTTTAAGAGAGAACTGTATTAAGCTTTTCAGAAAAGGAAAGAGACTAAGAATGTTTTTCAACCTAGAAATTTGGTTTAAATAAAGAGGAGCCCCCAAAAGCAGAATACAACAAATAAAATGTTCTCTTGCTATAATTCTAAAATAAGCTTTTAAAATAGTTCAGATCTTAATCAATAAATATTTATTAAGCACCTACCATGTGACAGGTACTGCGGTTAGCACAGGTAGTGAGGAAACAAAGACAACCATGAAACAATCCCTGAATTCAAGAAACTTACATTCTATCAGCAAAAACAACATGTACATATAAGTAGATACAAAATATGTATGAAATAAATAAAAGGTAATCTTGGCGGGGGGGAGGGGGGAGGGAAGAGGTAGAGAAATGGAAGCACTAACAGCTGAGGGTTATCAGAAACATCCTCATGTAGGAAGTTGAATGTAAGTAAACTCTTAAGATAGGGAGTCTAAGAGACAGGTGAGTAGGGGAGAGCATTCCAGGTATGGGAGATAACCTGTACAAATGCAAAGTGAGACGAGATGAAATATTGGCCAGGAAGGGGGAAGGTGGGGTAGCCCTTCACACCTTCAGTGTGGCTGAAACACACACTCTATGGAAGGGAGTAATGTGTACTAAGTCTGAAAAGACAGACTGGAGGCAAATTGAAAAGGCTTTAAATAACAAGCAGGGGAGTTTGCAGTTAATCTTAGGGGCAACAGGGTATTACGAGAGTTTATCAAGTAATGGAGCAACATAGTAAAAGCTAGACTTTAAGAAAAACACTTTAGCAGCCATGTGGAAGATATGTTGGGAAGGGGAGAGACCTGAGGCAGGAAGACTAATAGGCAACTGCAACAGTCTAGGAGACAAGTGATGAGCCCTGAATAACTACATGAGTAGAGAAAGAGACATATGGGAAAGATGCTGTAGAGGTAGGAACAATAAGATTCGGCAACTAATTGGCTATATCTGGGTAGGCAGAATGAGAAGTCAAAGACAACACTAAGATCGTGAACTTGGATGACTGGAATGAATGGTGATACCCTCAAAAAAAACAGGCAAGTTAAGAAGAGGTGTGGATTTGAGGAGAAAGATGTATTCTTTTCTGGACATGTTGAGTTTAAGATGCCTATGGGGACACCCAGTGGGACAGGCAGCTGATGATGTGGGACAGAAGGTCAGAGAGATAGCTCTGTGAATCACATGCACAGAGATGACAATTACACTCATGTGAGTGTATGTGTTCACTAGGAGACATAAAGAGAATAAAGGTAAAAGAGAAAAAACAGACCTCGCAACAGAGTATTGGGGGTACAGGAATCATGATTTAAAAAAAAAAGACTGATAAAGGGTAGTAACACAGATTGGAGGAAATCCAAGAGAAAACAATGTCATAAAACCCCAGAGCAGAGAGAGTACCTCAGAGGAAAAGGGAGTCAACAGAGTAAACTGCTACAGAAAGGTTAAGAAAGAAGTCTGAGAAAAGGAACTTGAATTTGTCAATTAAGACAGCAATGTTTGTAAAAGAACAGTTTCAGTTCAGTGATGAGCTCAGAAGCCAGAATGCAAAGGGAAGGAGGAGGAAGAAGCAAGAATAGAGGAAGCACAGGTATCAAACATAGACAGCTTTTAAATTTTGCCTTTAATAAAACATGCATTCTTACCTGAAACCTGATCATCTGTCAGACCAAATGCTGACATGACATTTTTGTTGATTTCATCTTGATTTTTTAATGGATCAAAAGCAGACATACTCGCTGCCATCACTTGGGTAGATTGTTTGCCTGAAGAATCAGAAGCAGTGGGTTTTTCTTCCCTACTATCCACAGTATCTAGAGGTGGAATAAGGAAGGACAAAATTAATTTTCATTTTAAATAAAAATAATAACATAGGTATAACATTACTAACACACTCTCTTTAATAAAGTTCTAGGAAAGGGAAATATAGTATACATTTTTTTTCTTCTTTTTGGTAAGGCAATTGGGGTTAAGTAACTTGCCTAGCGTCACATAAGTGTCAAGTGTCTGGAACTGCATTTGAACTCAGGTCCTCCTGACTCTAAGGCTGAAGCTCTATCCATTGCGCCACCTCGCTGCCCCTATATAAGTTTTGGTTTTTTTAATTATGAAACTTTAAAGGTGGCAAGGACTATAAATGGACCACCTCATTTTATAGAGGCAGATACCATGTCCCACAGAAGTGAAATGACTTGTCTAAAGTCACAGACCAGAATCACATGACTCTAAGTGCTCTTCCCACTTCATCATACTGCCATTAGAAGTTTCATAAAATTATTGAAAGCTAACCGTGAAGAGTTCAATTTAAGTTTAAGTCACATTAAGAGTCTCATTCCATACTAGATAATTGTAGCAAATCAAAGATACTATACATTTAACAAGGTTACTCTTCTACGCAAAAAAAAAAATCAACAAATAAACATCTCAAGTTTATACACAACTTTTTTTTTACGAAGGTCAGGGTCCTCAGTGGGCACTTATTCTAACAACCCATGAAAAGAGATACAGGACAAATATTATTTACATTTTATATATGGGAAACTGATGTTTCCCATACACACACACACACACACACACACACACACACACACACACACACTCACAGCTGGCAATCATTGATGATAACCTTTCAGTATCCTATAGTGGGATAAAAACAGGTTTATTAGCAACAAGAGTTTTATAAAAGAACAGAGATCAGGACTTTTCTATATTTTATTATACAGTAACTAAAATACTGTAAACACTATTAAAGATTATTCACTGGTCTTTCATTATAGTATGACCTTCTATTCTATATGGCACAAAATTCAGTATGAAGTAGTCTACCTTAAATTCTATTCAATATGGTTTATTACTGGTAGGAAAACAAGGGTCTCACAATAACACTATTCTACCTATTACAATCTCATTATACAGGCTGCTAAGAATGGCAATTCTGTGAGGCCCCAGGATATTCTGATAAAGAATTGCAGACAGAAGTTATTGTAACTGACTAGTTACTATAGTCTTACAGAGTAAGTACTAAGTACTTAGAGTGTATCTATTATGTGTTGTGCAAGATAACTTCTCAGGGAGGGAAATGTTCATACCTTCATGGAGGCAGGTACCTGATACATAAGCTGAGAAACTACAGACAAATTACTTCATTTTTTAGTGATCTAGGCAACTCTCTAAGATTATACGTGTGTATGTATACATGAATATATGTGTGTGTATGTATGTATATGTCTATATATGCATGTGCGTATACATATATGTGAGTATACAGGAGGGACTTTCCATACCAGGAATTCCCTACAGATAAAATCATAGGTCTGAATCTTTAAAAAGGCAGTTGAGGAGGCTGTGGTCCCCTTAGTATAAGAAATGGATCTCACAGGTCAGAGAAAGACAGGTTCACAACCTACCATTTTCAGGGAGACTGGTAGAAGGTCCAGGTTCAACAGGTGGTTCTAAACAATCCAACAGACGATTCACTTTGTTTCGAAGTTCTATCATTTCTCTACGGAGATATTTCACCTGACTTGATTCAAGAGGCCTTGGCTGCCCATTAACTAAATGAGAAAAATTAATTATTAAAATTAATAAGGAGTAGTTTACCCAAGCCCAATAAACATCAGCATCATAATAACAAACTCCAATCAAGTGTTTTAAAATAAATGATTCATTTTAAAACATGAAACCACAATCACACACAGTATCTGTCACAGGGCCTATGGAGACTAGACTTGTAATTTCAATGTTACAGGAAATTCCTAAATGAAGAAACTCTTACTAATGCAGATCAGCAACTTTTCAAAACGAAACTGACACATAAACCCAATGAAAGTATATAAAGTACGGGCATGGGTCATGTTCTACAGCAGAAGAGTCAAACTCAAAGAGAAAAAATAGAGGCCACCAAACCATAATAAGGATCCTTGAGGGCCACATACTGACTTAGAAAACCACATATTAATATTATCTATGTTCTACTTATTCTTATATATGTTATTATATGTTTCCCAATCACATTTTAATCTGGTTCCAGCCACACTGGGAAGTGTTGTAGGATGGATGTGGCCCAGGACCTACATTTAACACTCCAGGTCTAAAGCAATGAGTCTATAAACCTTAACGCTCCCTATATAAAACCTACAACTATTAATGTACCATTAACAAATCACAAGTTTAAAATTTTTGAGGTCATGGAATAAAACCAATGCAACACAGAAACAATACAAAAAGAGTAGAACTGATTTAAATATCTTTCTATAACTTACAGAATGAAAAGGATTCCTTAAATCTAATATACATATGGATATATAAAATCATTAGGACTGAATTTGATCAAACTTCTACTTATACTCTTCTAGATTAAATATCTCATTTCTTAACTATTCATTTATTGATTTGAAACATTTAAATTTCTCTTGTAAAAGAGTTATATACACTTTCAAAGTATGTTAGGGAAGACCTGGTTTCTCTCCCATCAACAGATCAACTGTGACTACGTAAAATAATAATATTCTTTTTACTTTAACACAAATACCAGAATTTATATAATCCATCAACAAGATGAGTCAGAAAGGGGCAAAAGGAACAAGTATATGTGTATGTATGTATATGTGTGAGTGTGAGAATGTGTATGAGTATATATAATGCATGTGTGTGTGTGTGTGTGTGTGTGTGTGTGTGTGTGTGTGTAGGTACAGAGACCAGATAGATAGATAGATAGATAGATAGACAGAGAGACAGACAGACAGACAGACAGACGGACAGATAGATAGATAGATAGATAGATAGATAGATAGATAGATAGATAGATAGATAGATAGATAGCAACTACTATGTGCCATGTGCTGTACTAAGCACTTTATAAATATTTTCTCATTTGATCCTCATAGCAACCCTACAAGACAGGTGCTATTATTGTGCCCATTTTATAGTTGAGGATTAGCAACATTTATTAGATACCTACTCTGAACCAGGGGGTAGACCAGGCACTGGACATATAAAGTGGAAAATCAAATAGTTGAGGCAGCTAGGTGGCACAGTAGATAGAGCTCCAGCCTTGGAGTCAAGAGGATCCGAGTTCAAATCCAGCCTCAGACACTTGACACTTATTAGCTATGTGACTCGCGCAAGTCACTTTTAACCCCAATTGCCTTACCAAAAAGAAAAAAAAAATCAAATAGTCTCTGCTTTCAAGAAATATACTCTTGTCATGGGAACCAACATGTATGTACATATATATATAATATACACAAGCTAACTTGGAGGGAAGGTTATTAGCAATGGGTTGAGGATATCAGAAAAGGTTTCACACAGAACGCAGTGCCTGAACTGAATATTTCTAACAGGAGAGCATAAGAGTCAATCCAAAGGCACTGAGATGACCAATGGAATGCTACATGTGAGGAACAGCAAGAGGCCAACTGGGCTGGACTAGAGAGAAGGGATAATGTATAATAAGGACAGGAAGGCAGATTGGGGCCAGGTTGTGAAGGGCTTTAAAGACCAAACAGAAGTTTAAGTTCGATCCTCAAGAAAACAGAGAGCCATTGAAGTTTAATCTGGGAAGAGGGTGGGGGATGGGGGAGAGAAGGGTAAGCAAAAGGGACAGGAAAAAAAAGGTCAAATCTGTGCTGTAGGAAAACTTCTTAAACAATCCTGTAAAGAATGAATTACAGAAGGTAAAGACTTGAGGCAAAGAGACTAATACTCCCTGGTTCAGAGTAGGTGCTTAATAAATTCTGGTTCTAAAGGTAATTCCAAAAGAAGTTAAAAACTATTTTGAGCCTCAAGCTCATTGGAATAGCTTCCCAAGGTGACTACTTTGCAAGGGACAACATTCAGCAAGATATATTGAAGCCCTCTTCATATCTTGCCTGGACTGTTAACTTCTTTCAGAACTGCCTTCAGAACCAGAATACAAGCCAAACAAGAAAAATAAAGCACATTTCATTTTCTTTTCCTTTCTACAACTTAACAGTGCCTGGCCTATAGTAGCCACACAATAAATGTTGACTTAACTTTCCCTAAAACGGTCCTGATCATGCTGATCATTCCTCTTGATCACCAGACAAAAATCTGCAGATAATGCAACAAATTCTAAAGACAATTTCATGAAAGGAGTTCCAAAATTTTTTTGAACAATACCGTATTATTTATAACAAAATATATAGTTTCCTAAGGGAACTATTGTACAAGAGACAACATTTGGGTAAGTTTTGCTGTTATGTTTAAAAGATGTCAAGTATAGCACATCCAGAGTTATGGATACAACTTAATAAGACATTTAAATTAATAACTCATTGGTTATGTAGCTCCAAATGCCAAAGAAATACATAAAACAAAGAAAATTTAAAATTAGGTTTCATTCCCATGCGCTCTTGTGCTTATACAGAAAAGTGGAGAAACAGGAAAGTAGGTGGAGGGTGCTAAGAATCACAGTCTTTTGAATGTTGGTACTCAAAATGTGAAACCTAAGGGAGGGAGCACAACGCAGTGAGGGAAAGTGCTGGATTTGAAATGAGAGAACCTATATTTGAATTCTAGTTCAGCCATTTTCTATCAGTGTAACTCTGTGCATGTCACTTATCCTTTCTAGTCCTCAGTTTCCTTAACTATAAAATAAAGAGGCTGGATAAGATGACCTCTGTGGTCTTTTCCATTCCTAATAATATGATTGTATGATTCTTTTGAACAATGAATTGACAAATTATTTGAGAACAGAATCACATTAATATTAACATTGTTGCCAGGTCTGAGTTCAAATCTGGCCTCTAGCACTTATTAGCTATGAGACCCTGGGCAAGTCACTTAACCATGTTTGCTTCAGTTGCCTCATCTATAAAATGAACCAGAGAAGGAAATAACAAACCATTCTAGTATCTTAACCAAGAAAACTCCAAATGGGGTCACGAGTTGGCACAACAATAATAAATGAAACAAATTTCTGCTAAATGGATGATGATTCTTAGATTAAAATCCAACTAAGAAAAAAACTGATAAATATATACAAAGTAAAGTTATTATAACAGCAACAGGGGGATGGGAGTTGTTCTGCATGGAGTTATAATCAACCTACAACCTCCAGGTGGCACTTTAGATAGAACAGTAGGCCTAGAATCAGGAAGGCCTAAGTTCAAATCCAGGCTCACACAGACATGTCCTAGCTGTGTGACCCTAAGCAAGTCAATTAACCTGTCTGCCTCACTTTCCACAACTGTAACATGGGGATAATAAAAGACCTTCCTCTCAGGGTTGTTGTGAAGATTAAAGGAGATATCTGTAAAGTGCTTAGCACAGAGCCTGGCACAGAGTAGGTGCTATAAAAATGATGGCTATTGTTATTACTTTACCCTGAATCTACTTTTGACCCATCAGTCTCATTTACTTGAGAAAAATTCATTAATCACTTATATGTAACAGCTGGCACTGCTCTTCAACACACCTTGGTAAAGCTAGTTTCTCTCTTCTGCTGCCTTATTTTAACATCTAGCCTCCTCTTCTGGAAGCCACATGACCCTGAGGTCTAGACTACCATAAATGCTCCCTCCCTAAATTTAGGGTTCTTTCCACTCCAGAAACAGCTTCTCTTCCTGATCACATCTACCCCCAAAATGATCCCTCCCACCAAACTCCTGTTTCTGTTCCCCCCTGATTCTCTAACTCTTACAGAGGAGAGAAAAAAACCATTTGAGGTTCTAGGACAACAGGAAGACTAATTACAAAAGCTGTGAATTGGCCTGACCATTTTGAAAAGCAGTACAGAATTACAGTAAGGTTCCCACCCTAAAGGAAGTCACTGACAGGAAAATAACTACCTACCTGCTCAAAAATATTAATAGCAACATTCTCTGTAACTGCAAAAAGCTCTAAAAAAAACTGAGCAAGGAATGGTAATAACAGCTAAATAAGCTATAGTATATGAATACAATGGGATATCCCTGAACTGTAAAGAATGGCAAATATGAAGAATTCAAAGAAATATGGGAAGTCAAAGTATGAGGCAAAGTGAAAAAAAGAATATACTGGCTAAATACAGCTATGCAAATGAAAACAAACTATAAAGGGCAACAAAACTGAGGTTAAATGCAACAGCTGATGTTGGCATTACCTTGTTAAAGTTAATGTGCAAAAAGTTTATTTTCTTTTAACTGTGAAAGGCCAAAGTGTAATCGTTTATGAGTTTGGGGTTATTTGCTTTGTTTCAGAGATTTTTTTCTTCTTGATTGAACAGCCATACAGAGGGAACAACAGCAATATACTCTTCCTCCTTCTCACTGTTCCCTACACACTTCTTGATGGTCAGGTGGCTAAATCATAGCTCTCACCCACAACACAAAACTAATAAATAAATTAAAAACTAAAAAATAAACCACAACACAAAACTAAAATACTTATCACAGTAAAAAGCAACTACCAATAAGGATGGTTATGGAGCCAGGCAGAGCAGTTGAGAATAAAATGAAAAGAGATAAGGAAGAAGAGGAGAAAAGCACTGGATTTTACATTAGAAGACAAAGATTCAAATTGTGACCCTGGTATTTATTACCTGGGCAAACCA